ATGATGGAAAAGTAAAAGCCAAGCCACATTCTCAGAGAAGTTTTAAAAAACAGTGTGGAAAAATAATAGAAATGTACCAGTCTACACTCCCACCAACAGTGGAGAAGGGTACCTTTTTCCACAGCCCCTCCAGCATTTGTTATCAGTTGATTTGTGATTTATTGATGAAAGTCATTCTTTCTTGGGTGAGATGGAATCTCAGTGTTGTTTTAATTTGCATCTCTTGAATGCCAATGATGTTGAACATTTTTTCATGTATTTATTTACCGTTTGTATTTCTTTATCTGAGAAGCATGTATTCATCTCAGATGCCCATGTTTGGATTGGGTCTTTGAATTTGGGGGTTCTGATTTTTTTCAATTCTTTATATGCTCTGGATATAAGTCCTTTGTCTGTGGGACAACTGGCTATAATTTTTTCCCACTCTGTGGGTTATCTTTTCATTTATCAGTGATTTCTTTTGTTGTGCAAACTTTTTTAATAAGGTAAGACCCCATTTGTTGATTCTTTCTATTTTCCTTATAGTCTGGATTTGTTCATGAAGTCTCTGTCTACACCTATGTCTGTGAGACTTCTACCTACATTTTCTTCCAGTAGATTTAGGGTTTCTATTTTAATATTTAAATTCCTGATCCATTTTGATTTTAGTTTAGTGTGTGGTGATAGATATGGTTTAGTCTTTGGCATGTGGAAAGCCTATTTTTCCAGCACCATTTATTAAAGAAACTATATTTCTTCCAGTGTACATGTTTGGTTCCTTTGTCAAAGATAAGATGGCTGAGAGTGTTTGGAGATGCATCTGAACCTTCTATTCTGTTCCACTGATCCTCAGACCACTATGGAAATCAGTATGGAGAGTCCTCAAAAAACTGGGATTGGAGGTCCCATTTGATGCAGTTATTCCCCTTTTGGGTATCTTTCCAGAAGAATTAAAATCATCATACCACAGTGACATATGTGCACCCATGTTTATAGCAGCACAATTTGTAATAGCTAAATCTTGGAAACAACCCAGATGTCCATCCACTGAAGAATGGATATAAAAAGGATGTGGGTTTTTTTATATAATGGAGTACTACTTAACCTTAAAAATGATAAAATGGAGTCTTTTATAGGTAAATGCATGCAACTCAAGACCATACTCATAAGTGAAATAAATCACATCCATATGTGTAAATACCATATTGTCTCACTACTGTGAAAAAACAAACAAGTAAATCTGATCCAAAATGTACAGTAGATATTGTGAATTGGGAAGAAACTGCTCAAAAGAAAAGACAAGCTGAGATGGGGAAATAGGCAATGACAAAAGGAATAAAGGAAAAATTACATGTACATACAAGATACTTAAGATTGTTAAACAGCTAATTTATCGTAGTTCATTAAAAAGAAAGTCTTAGGGGCTGGGGATTTAGCTCAGCGGCAAAAGCGCCTGACTGGCAAGCGCAAGGTCGTGAGTTTGGTTCCTGGTACCGGAGAAAAACCAAAAAATAAATAAATAAATAAAAATTTAAAAAAATAAATAAATAAAAAATAAAAAAGAAAGTCTTGTGCTAATTCTGTACAGACCAGATAGCATGCATATATCTTCTACTCTGAATAACTACTGGGAAGTTGATAATACACAATGTGTAAACTATTGTAACTGTCCTAATAGCCTGTTTTGAAAATCGGTCTCATTGTTATGTTTAACATTTTTCTAAAGGGGAAAGAACAGCCGGGATGGGAGAAAGGAATAAAGAAGGAAGGAAAATATATATATATATATATATATATATATATATATATATATATATAATTTACACACAAGATAGCTAAGACAATTGTACTACTCATTTCTAGTGGTTTATTGAAAGGAACAGTTAACATTTAATGGTTTGATCAATCTTGCGTTCTTACATCTGAACAACTTCACTGAAGATAACAATGTGTAATACAACAACCATTGATAATTTCCTAACATATTATTTGAAATTCTGTATCATTTTTATTGTTTTCGTGCTGTTTTATTTTTGGTCTTTTGTTATTTTGGGTTTTTTTCTCTCTCTAAAATTAAAAAAAAAAAAACATAGAAATATACATTTTCTTCCTGGGGAGAAATGGGATGAATTAAGTTATTTGATGCTTATGAACTGCTCATGAATTCTGGGCAAGGAGATATTGCTGCTCTCTGATAGATGTTGTTTCTATTTCTCTTGTTTATAATGAATTGTAATCACCAAAGGCAAACCAGAAACAAAAATTAGTGCATAACTTATCATGTGTAGTATATGTTTTCTATGGCAGGGAACACAGCCCAGATTTCAGGTAAATAAGAATGCCAGGGGCTGGGGATTTAGCTCAGCAGCAAAGCACCTGCCTGGCAAGTGCAAGGTCGTGAGTTTGGTTCCCGGTACCGGAGAAAAACCAAAAAAAAAAAAAAAAAAGAATGCCAAATGCTGTTAATTTTGTTGCTCTTATTTATTCATTCCTTTTTTGCACAAACAAGAGGAAAAAACATTGGTTAACAGATCATTCTTCAAAGAAAACACTGACTAGTATTTCAATGAATTCTTCAAGACTCTCATTTCTTACAGAGTCACCATTTGAAAGTGTTTGCTTTATTATTTTTTTTAATAAGTGGAACTATAGGGTCAAGTTCTTTAGCAGTGAAATTTGCCAGGCTCTGTCTTCAGACATTAAAGATCAATCAAATGAAAATCAATACAGAAATTAATCTTGGTTCTACCCTGTATTATTACAATTCCAAATTAGTTTGTGGGAAATGACACTAATTACTGAATGTATATTTTTACACATACATGTATCTTGGTACACATCTCCACTGAGCCTGTCACGACAGCCAGGGTGATGTAGCAGGATGGACACTGGCTTTAGAAACAAAAGGACCTGACCCAAGTGTTAATGGTGCTAATATGTGCCTTTTCCACACTCAGAAGTGCCCCTCTAGATGATAAACTGTACATTACTCTAAGTAGTCTTTATATTTAGTTAATTTATACCCATTACAATTATTCACCCAAAGTAGTTAACCAATAAAATAAAGGCATAGCTTCACAAAAGTAAACGCAACCTAACTTTCTCAGATGATCAGGAAGATATCATCATGACTTAACAGTTACTAACAAAGAAAATGGAAGTATGGCTACAAATTGACAAACTGTTGAAAGTATCAGGAAAAGGTAACTTAATCCCATGACAAGAGTAAAGTCTAGAGGCACAAATGTCAAGGTCACTGTGAACCCTAAACCCACATTCTAATTCTCCCTGCCTATCCCTGAGAAATTTTCTGAATTATACTTGCATGACAGAAAAAAAAAAAAGATTTCCAAGATAACCAAAAGAAATAAGTCTCTGGCCCATGAAATTATTGCATTGTGTAGTCAAAAAAAGGAGGGATTAGTCTTCTGGATGAAAAAAAAATACATGCAAATAGCAACAATAATGGCCACTCCATTTTAGTATTTTTATATACAAATACTGGGCCTGTTTCCAGCTTTTTAACCCTGTAATGCAGACAATATTTTTAGAAACATTTTCCTGAAAAAGAACTGTCTTAAAGAACTTGCATAGATTGCTCAAGGTCACATAGCTAAAATTTAATTTTAATCCAGATATGTCCAAAAGGGAAAGAGAGCCCAAATAGATGCCAACTACAAGACCCTGTTTTACTCCAAAATTAATGCTTTAAAACTGAATACAATGTGAAGGATTCTGTGAGACTGATTTAAGGACCATGAGTTGCATCCACCTTCTCTGCAAGCTAAGAAGTTAAGCAATGATTTTAGTAACAACAACCACCACGGTGTAAAGGGTGACTTCGGGCAACACTAATTGCAATTATAAAGAGGAATGGTGGGACTAGGAATTTTGTAACAGACTTGCCTTTGTAATCCTTACCTCAAAACACACAGTTTTTCACAGTTAAGGAGCAGCCAGGGTTAGCTTATCAAGAAACCTGTTGGGTTTATACCTACTGCCCTTCCTATCTCATTAAATGTTTAATCCATATAAGAAACTACTTTTACCTTGCTTTATTTTTCTGGAGAAATGCTTCTGAAATCTTAAAGGCCACAAAAAGTTATAGAAAAAGTCTAATCTTTAATAGGTACAGATTCAACAGATATAGTTCAGAGCAGTGGTCCAGCAGGAATTATAAATCTGTCTCTAACAAATTTCAGAACAATCAGTCTCAAGTGACTTCTGTCATTAATAGACTGGGCCTGCCAGAACCCAATAACCCAGGCAAATCACAATGGAGATCATTACCAGTAAAAAAAAAAAAAAATGGGCAAAATGTAATTAATATCAAGATGCTAATCTCTAGCTATTAATAGATGATAACACCTTTACCAATAGCCTCCGGCTCCTTGCAGTCTCTGGAATACAAGTAGTGCCATACAGTAGTGATGAGACTTGCAGACAGAAGTGGATTAGAACCGGGATGTTGGACCAGGGATATAGCTCAGTGGCACAAGTGCCTGTCTGGCAAGCACAAGGTCCTGAGTTCGATTCTCAGTACCAAAAAAAAAAAAAAAAGATGGAACCAGGATGCTGCCACACACTAGCCATGCAACCTCAAGAATTATTTAATCTTTCTGGCCATTAATGATCTCATCTGCAGAATGAAGATGCTATGAATTCTTACAGAAGTAAGAATGGGATGTGCCATGTCAGGTAACAATAACCAACAATTACTGAGTATTTACAATGTACTAAGCACCAACAAAATAAATACTGCTGGTGGATAAGAAACAGAAAGGACCAGCATTAACATGATGAAATTAATATAATTTAAACTGATAGAAACAGGACTTGAACTCAAGAAGCTCACATTGTCAACCTACTACTTTACACTGGCAAGAAACGAATTCCTACACCAGAGAAAGACTCAATAAATATGAATCACAGCTACATTTATTATTTACACCTGCCACCACTTCAAATGAAGTTATAGATTAAAATATTGGCTATGAAAATATTAAAAGAATGCACAATACCTGGGACACGGCTGCAGAAGCTCTCCTTCAACAATGCAGGCCTCCTTCTCAAGCAGTTCTGGGCATTCCTTCCCGCCACCAATGGCGAAGTGCTTCACATTCCGGCTCCTGCTTCTAAATCCAGGGGAGAGACTCCCAGATCTGCAAGTCTTGGAACAGGGGCTCCAGGAAGACCACTCAGAGGTCTCACAGTCTTTCGGCATAACACAAGGCTGAACAGTCAGTGGGAAGGAGTCATGCATACAAAGGCTGAAGGAACAATAGCAGAGAATAGGAGGGCATAGATTAAATGCATGCAACCAACATTAAAAGTCCCTGCTATAAGAAGTGATCACTTAACATCTACTTTAAGCTTTAAGATGGAAAATGTTTCTTTTTAAACTTGTTAGCAGCATCTTGACAGAATGTTAGAGAATATAACATTTTAAGATTACACATTGCATTAAACCTGAAACAGTGAAATTTCTTCATGCTAGTAATATCCATATGGAAGATGGGCCTACCTTGTTCTTCTCCAAAGCACTACCAGAAATGCAATAGTCCTTCCAGTTCATTTCATGATGATGTGGTCTACTATTCTGTTCTACTATCCTGACTGGTTGCTCACTTCATAGACAGTTTCTCACAACAGTCCTACGAGTTTCATTTTAGTATCTCTGCAGATAAGAAAGCTTAGTCCCACGAAAGATATATAATGTTTCCAGTACCAAACAAAAGTAAATGAAAGCTTCAGAGTAACTTATTCATTCCTATAAATATGGGACTATTTTAAAAATGGAATGTTATGTTTCCTCACACTAGTCAGCCCTAAGTATTAATTCCCTCAATTGAAAACTTTCCGTGTAGTCAAGTAGACTGAGATTCTACCTGGTAAACAAAAGTGTATTAACATGTGACCAAATCAACACAAAAGCATTTAGAATGCTGAGGAGCAACAGGCATGAGGTGATGACGAGCCACCTAGCAAGTAACTGTCTGGAGAGAAGGACACCGAGCTACAATTTTGAATAATAAATGGGAACTTCTCAGGGACAGAGGGAACACCACTGTCAGTTAAAGGACTAGGATATTGAAAGCCTTGAAATAACACTTGGTGGGAACGGGAACCACTTATCTATAGGAGCTGACCATACGTCCCCCAAGAGCCAACTGATAAATTTTCAGAAATTTTGCAAGCCACTGGACTTCACATAAGTAACTAAAGTTGGCCAAACTGGGGTATTTACACTACAAAAATTGGCAAATGCTATAATTCAAGACTCCTCCCCCAAACCTGTGAGAACTGACAACATTCACAAGCATCACTGGAAAAGAATAAAAGCCAACTTGCTTCACTGAAGAATAAAGTATAGATAGGAAAGTGGATATAGGTTAGGTATGTGGGTTCTTCCAAATCTGGGCTGAACAGATTTCATATCATGGGCTAAGGAATTTGGACTTCACTGAGCATTAAATGATTGTAAGTGGAGGAAAATGAGACATACAGGAAGATACTTCAAGCATTAATTGCCATTTATTTCCTTCTTTCACTTCCTTGTTATTAGCTCATCCTTATTTGGTCAAAAATATCTATTACTTCAGGAATAGGGGATAATTTTCATAGAAATGTACACTAAGGATAGTGTCAGCAGGTGTGGTGCTATAGGCTTAACTTGAACTTTCCCCTGTGTGTATTCCCCACTAATGAAAAAAAAAAAGAAATTGGGTCAGAGTTCAAATATTGACTTCCAAACTTGAGTCTGTGAAATCTGGAAGAATGAGAGCTGTAGAAGAGTTTCGATAATGGTTCCTCCATATGTGACCAAAAAGGAGAAGTCTTACACTGTTTCCAGGTTTTTAATTTGGGAAAACATATAAAGAGGGGAGCCAGTGTGCAGGAGAAACTAAAATAGACTCATATCTGCATTTTCAAGGACAAATTACAACGAATTTATGTATTCATATCCTTCATTAAGCCATTGAGGGTTAATATGTCATTCACAGAGAAAAAAATAGTAGAAGAAAAATCTTTCTTTTAATATTTTATATTTAAAAGCTACTGAAGTCACTGAGTCCCTTCAAAATAAAAGGGCAATGCAAACATCATTACTATTAAACCATTGCGATGTTTGGGGGGCCTAGGGTCATTAGGAAGAACGTTTACTACAGAGCCCCACCTATCATAGAATGTATTATCCCTGTCACTGGGCAGCGTGAAGGTTTGGAGAAGGGGGCTATCTCATTCACTAGTGCATCAACCGACTGGTTCCTCTGTGTTCAAAGTTTTAGAAATTGTTATAGACTAAGTCCGAATCTCTAGGACACTGATGACAAACCTTTTACAGATTTCAATGATACAGTCTGTCACAGCACACGTACTGTAAGTTTACCACCACTGCTCTAGGACGTCAGAATGCAATCTCATTTGGAGATGACAGGGTATTTTAAAAAGACAGTTAATTTAAAAGGAGTGGTGGAAGCCTAATCTTCTGAGAAGAGATGATGATGCACACACAAGTGGAAAGAAGATCAGCTGGAGACACAGGAAGATTGCTACAAGCAGGAGAGTCCTTGAAGAAGAGAAAGCTTGCCAGCACCCCAACTTGGACTTGCAATCACCAGAACGGAAGAAGCAGAAAATATGCTTCTGTTCTTTATCCATCCAGTTGTGACCATCATTATGGCAGCCTGACAAACTAATCCAGGCTTTAGAAAATGATTTTCAATTTGCAAGAAGGATTTTTCTTCTTTCCTTGATAAAGAAAGCCCCATGCTAGTTAGTTCTCTGTATATAGGAGAATCGGCACCTCGGTTCTTCTCGTCCACTCTCTCTCTCTGTTCCTCATCCTTTCCACACTGATTCTTCTCACTGGACCAAAAGAACAGGCAGCAAGTCTCCAACAGCAAAAGCATGTTCCCTTTTGTAATTTTGAATAGGGCTCCTGAGTCTTGATTTTTATCAATAAAGGATATGTGTCCCATTGGTTACATATTTATTTTTAAAGTGATTTTCACTAGTTTATCCCCTTGGTTAAAATAACAACAACAATGATATATAAAAGACACATTGGGATTCAGTTTAACTTGATCAATAAAATCCTATTTAACGAGACTAGAAGGAACACTAGATGCTAAGTCACAAATATCTAGGTCAGGAATTCTGCATCACAATATACTAGTTTGATTTTAATCTCCTGGCCACTTAATTTCATTAACTATAAAAAAAGGAATAATAAAATATGATCTACTCACCATCTAGAGTTGTTGTAACCTTTAGTGTAAATGGAATCATTTTATAAACTACAGCTCACAATGAAGATTACTGGCCACACACAGAAATGAGAATCGATCCTTTCATAGAAGGTGGTGTACAATTTTAATGAGACAGACACACACTCTGATTTGTCTTTTAAATAGGAGATGTTGTGATAATTATATCTCCTTGACATTTATAGAACATGCTGTCATCTGTAAATTACTTCACAAGTATTCAACTGTAAAGGGAATCTTTGAAATTTAAACATTACCCCCAGTTTCATACTTCTAGAAATATAAGAAAACATCTATTTACAAAGAAGGGAAGAAACTTTTATAAAATAAAAATTAGTAGTGAATTACCCCCAATTAATGAGCATTTCAGTTAGCATTACTTTCCATTAATATTAAATATTTCAGAGGCACAAAGAAGTTGAATAATAAAGCAAACACTCCTATACCTTTCTAATAAAGAAAAACCTTTGGCTCAGATTGCCTTAAATAAATAAAAAACTAAAGATAAAGGTTAAATTTCAAGCATCCACTACAATTACAATTCCAGTTTTCTTTCCTCAGACATAACTGATAACCACTATTTTCAAATTGTATTATTTCAACTTATGTCCAATACTGTGTCTAAATATGTATATACTCATAGATGCACATATCATTGTTGCAGAGTTTTAAAAGTTTTATGTAAATATTTTCATCATACATATAGTATGGGAAAATATTTTCCTCAATATTTGGAATATTGAGGAATTTCTACATCTATTTATGTTGAAAAAGACAGAGCTTATGAAAGATAAAATTGGGTTTGATACAGGGGATTGACAGAGCACATGTCTGGGTGTGTCTAGGAGGGTCACAGAGGCATCACCTTACAACTATACTTGGCTACTTGCCTGTTTCTCTCTTATTACGCTCCCCTGCTCTGCTGTCCACTCACTATGAATTTAAAATATTTGCTCAGTCATGCCTGTCTGACATGATTGTCCTGCTTTAGAGCCAGCTGACTCTGGGCTAAAGTCCCTTAAAGTGTGTGCCAAATTAAAACTCTCTTCATTTAAATTGTAGGTGTCAGATATTGTGCCCAGCAATGGAAAAGCTGACCAGAACAGAAAATTGGTACTGCAGAAGTGGAGATGTCACGGTAACTATGCCTGGCCATTTGGTATTGGAAACCTTTGGAACTGGTTTCTAGGAACAGTTTCAAAGGCTTTGGAGACACAAGCTTTGGAGAAGCCCTACTTGTGATAAACAGAGTTTTGTGGGTAATTCTGGTGAGATCTCTAAGGACCAGAATGCTGATAGGAATGCTTACAGTAAAGGCAAACCTAGAAGTTTCATTTGGAAATAAGGACACCACCAGCAGTTGTACTAGAAGCCATCTGTGTTATACTCTGGCAGAAAATTTGTTTTCATTTCTCCAATGTCCTGAAAGTATGCAGAAAACTGAGATTAAAGGCAACAGACTAATTAACCTACTGGAGGAGATTTCAAAAAAGCCCAACATTCAGGCTGTGGTATGAGTACTTCTGGCTGTTTTTAGCCAAATTCATAGTGAAAAGTGGAGGAACAGACAGAGCAGAAAATTTAAAAATCTTAAATAGTCACCCAGAAGAAACCACTGTAATGTTGGGAGCAAAAGATGTGTGGCTGCTGAAGAGATAGTCCCATTAAAAAGGAAACAAGTGCTTTGGAAGGAATAATAACAAGAAAAGTATTTTGAGGCCTCTCAGAAATCAGCAATATCTTATCCATTACAGGATCAAAAATGCAAAGTATGACCCTACAGATGCAGATACATCCCACGGCCCCTGTTTGACAAGGGTCTGTTAGGGAATTGGTGCCCTGGGATTCATTTCATTGTGCTCAGTCATTCAAGCACAAAGGTATCATTGCTGCCATGGTCCAAGGGAGTCTGGTTACTTCCAATACTAGGGGCAGACTTTGGTATTGTCCAAGTGGTACTTATTTTATCAGCATGAACAATGCGAGAGTTATGGGATCAA